AATTTAAGCTCCTTTCGGCAATGGTGGAATAGCAATTTATTATCAATACAAATATCAACCGGATCCTATCAAAACTCCATCATAAGTGTATCGTTTTTCATCGATTGCATCCTTTAGAAAAAGAACAAAAAGTGGAATGACATTTTAGTTTTAGTTGAGGGTTTGTCTTAGTACCATATATTCGGGATTTCAGTAATACTATTTTAACATAATTTATTACCCTAATCCATCACATTCATTGAGTTCGTGACAGGTCCCCAATCAATATTGGGTTCAATTGTCATTCTAATTGTTGTAATTGATTATATCGACAAATTAGTTTAATAAATTAGGTTGATAAATTAATTTATTAAGTTAGACCAATAAATTAAGTCAATTAATTAAATTAAATAATAATTACTTTTTGAAGCTTTTTTGTTGGTTTTTGCATGCATGAAACAGATAAACGAAAAATCTGGAGGGTAATTCAATGATATTAGAGACGAACTATAAATTCGAAAATTCTGAATTTGAATTTTAATAACTTTTTAGATCAAATCATAAAAAAATTATTCCTCATAAATAAATTCCGGCCCGCTATTGAATATACCAAAACTCAAATTCACTCAATGGTACAAAATTTTTATTACAGTAGTAAATTTGGAAAACATCCGATTCCTTTCCTAGTATAGATGGGAATTGTCCGAACCTGCCAACTACAAGCTCCTCAAACTTGTCTTTAGTGTGATCATACGAATAGACAGGCATGCATGACTTAATCACTCCACCTGTCAGTAACATCTCACCTGTGGAGAGGTTCCCAGCCCGAAACCAACATCCCTTGTCTGCCAAATCAAATGGAATGTCAATGAGGTGTTTGGTCCATCATTGTGACTGTCCTTCATAGTTCTCTAACACCCACAGGTCTAAACTCTGCCGAAATTGATGACCAGCCACAGCAAGCTGGCCTCTAAATTGTAGTAGTAAATCAGAGTGTCAAGGTACTTTGGTGGCAGAATCAGTTGAAAGCTCTCCTCTTTGAGATCGAAAACAATGATGGAATACCATAGCCGGCTCAATAATGGAGTGGAAAAAGCATGGGATTTAGGTCCACACATAAAAAAAGCTCCAAATTTTAAAAGTTCAATAATTTAGTATAAATTAAAAATTAAAATTCATTATAATTTAATTTAACAAAAAAAACTTCTAAAAGATTAAGTCAAAATAAATTTTAGAATTTAGGTTTAAAGTGCAGTCCACCTCACAAACATACATTACACATACATATTTATTAAAGGACCAAAAAAGGTAAACATTTTAATAAAAAAGTATAATAAGTATATCTCTCTTCCATAAATTAAAATAAATTAACATTTTTTATTTATCTTAAACTCAATTTTATTCTCATTTCAATACAAAAACACCAACTAATTAAATTATTCATTCTCTATA